ACAGATTTTTTTTCAGTTCAGGCTACTTACTTGTGGCTGAACATGGAGTTCTAGCCATATTTTTCAGGTTTGCAGGTACAACCAGGAGTCAGACACAAAGAGAAAGTTGATATAATCAGCGTACTAGGAAAAAGATGTTTTCTATGGCATTATGAACAGTTACGAATCAAGCAAAACAGCATTTGTTAAAGACCAAAAGGTTCTGCATAAATTTAGAGATAAAGTGAAAAAAGTTGTGTTGAAAATTTAATCAGTGTAAGGGTATGGGAGTGTCACATCTGGCTCAGACGAGGGAGACAAGTGACTTAGATTCATAAATCCCCAACAGAGCGGACAACGGTGAGATGTGGTGCTAGATGTGGTATGTGGGATTGAAATGTGGCCTCCATGTGAAGACACAGAATGAAGTGCAGGTTGACAGTGATGCCCAAGATATGAACCTGAGTGACAGATTGACTTATTTCTCAAAATAGCCCTGTTTCCTCTCAAACACTAAGGAGACTGTATCCTTACAGTAAAGAATATGGTAAGGATTCAGTCATGCATTTATATTTTTGCAATAAATTAGCTATTTCAAATATGACAACTTTCATTAATTACTAGACTTACTATAATCTACTTTATGTAAAATGGTATTTAGAAATGTCTGTGTATATGTGCTTGTGTATTTATTTCTGAAACTTCAAACAAACTATCAGAATACTGAATTGTTCTTGGCTGGTCAGTTTATTTTCTTTTGGGTAGCTACTTCTGTAAGAGTTCTTCAGGTTATTTCCAAATTACAGTAACATCAAGAATTTGCAGTTTGCCCAACATTATGAAAAGTATGAGTATATTCAGTTCAACTTTTTTTATGTTAGTTTGTGATTTTTTTTTCAGTTTTGTTCTCATTTTCTATTTGAATTTACCTCAGCAGACCAAATTTAAATACCTCATACAGTAAATAATTTCATTTTACTGAAACTACTCATTGTTATCATGATATTGCTTGTCTCTTCAGTGGAGCAGAAGTATACTGATTATGTATTCAGGGCTTTATCTAGTTATTTCTTGAAAACATGCAAGGATGTAGACTATACAACCTCTCTGGATAACCTGTTTTACTCCCTGAATAATTTAATACTGAATTTCTTTATATCCTGTCTGAACATCTCTTGCTTCATCTTATGTCAGTTGTCTCTCATCCTCCCACCATGCACCACTGTGAATAGCTAGACTCCATAACCTCCCCTTGGGTCCTGAAGGGTATAGTGGTTGATGTTACCCCCAAGCTGTCTCTTATTCCAGATGAAGGAGCCCAGTTTACTCAGCCTGTCCTGCAGATGAGTGTTCCAGCCTCTGACCAGCTTGGTGGGCCTCCCCTGCACTTGCTGCTGTTTTTCGGTGTCTTTCCTGTCTTGGAGCAGCCAGAACTGGACACAGTGTTCACGTGCAATCTAACAAGTGCTGAGCAGAGGGGGACAATCCTTTCCCACTATACACTGGCTGTGTGCTCGTGTGGTACAGGCCAGGATACTGTTGGCCGGATTTGCTGCCAGGACACACTGCTGGCTTATGCCCACCTTGCTGTCCACCAAAACACCCAGGTTGTTTTCATCAGAGCTATTCCCCAGTCACTATCTAGGCTGTATCATTACAGTGGGTTCTTTCTTCCCAAGTGCAGGACCAATCCTTGTTAAAGTTCATAAAGTTCCTCTAAGTCCATTCTTCAAGCCTGTCTAGGTCCTTCTGAATGACCGCTCTACCATCAAGTACACTGATTGCTTCCCACAGTTTGGTGTCATCTGCAAATCTGACAAGAGAACACTTGGTCACCTCCTACAGATCCTTGATAAAGATGTCAAACAGGACAGGTCCCAGTACTTCATATCTAGTTACTTTATCATAACAGGCAATAAGGCTGGTCAGCCATGATTTACCCTTAATAGTTCTATGCTGACCGTTCCCCATCATCATTCTTCTGTGCCCAGAAATGTGTTCAAGGAGAACTCTCTCTGTGATTTTCTTCAGGACTAAATCAGGCTGATCAGCTTGAAGTCATCCAGCTTGACCTTTCTGGCCTTTTTTCGAAGATGGATGCAACATTTGCCTTTTTCTAGTTGTGAGCAACTTCCCCTGATGTCCATGACCTTTCATGGATGGCAGAGACAGGCCTTGCAAGAGCACTGGACAGTTTTCTCTGCACCCTTAGGTGCAGCCTCTTGCGTCCCATGGGCTTGTATGAGTGAAATTCTCCAAGGCATATCTGAATGTGTCAGCCATACTTAACAATTACATGTGTTTCTAGGTCTCTGCACGTATTCCTTCCATGGAGAACTGTTTGGCACTTTCCACTTTAAGCAGTTTTGTTTCCTTTCAAAATATTACTCCAGGTCAATATAATGTTTGTTCAGCTGAAATTCACTTTAATTACATCACTTCATCTATGAATCTTTCTGGAATTTAATTGTCATGATAAGAAAATCATGCATGGTAATGTTGCTCACAACTTTGATAAATAATATAATTGTTTAGGTAGAAGTAACTCTCTGTTTATTTACAGTGTTGTTGATAATCTCTGCAGATGACCCTGAAGTTGTAGACAGTGAAGACAGTGCACATTCACAACTATATTTCTAAATTAGATAAGAAAATGAATAAAAGACAAGGCATACGTTCCGAGTCTTGCTGTTCACTGTTTTTTTTTTTTTTTTTTTTTTTAAAAAAGATATCTATATCTATATCTATATCTATATCTATATCTATATATATATATTTAGTGTAGAACAAAATATTGTATTATAAAGGCAGAGGTATCATTAAGAATAATGTACATTAAGTTAACATGCTAATAATATTTTAAACATTACATATTTTATAAATTCATCATTCTTTTTTCATGAATAACAAAACATTGATTTCAAGCTAAGTAAAAAATTACAATTTATGTCATATTTTGTAATAAAGCAAAGCCAGCAATGCATGATAATGTTTTTTAAAAAAAACCCCACATTTTACTTGCAAGTCAGAGACAGAGTTACATTTTTTCATTATATTCTTAGAAGTAAGTACCATAATTTTAATTATGTCTGAGAAAACTTGAACTGTTTTAAATGTGAGATCTTTCCTGCTTGGAGTGGGTATACACATTCTGTTTTTCAGTTGTTGATTCATAAGTTATGAATGTACACTAGCTTCCGAGTCTTCTGCTGGTAAATTTTTAGAATATTTTAAGAAATGCTAAAAGCACTACAGTAAATTTGAGGAAGGAATCCACACATTGAGAAAATGTAGTGATGGGGCATGAGGTACTTATATGAGAGATATTTTTTGCCATTTATATGTCTTTTTTCTGTTACGTCATCCAGAAGGCTGACATAGTCTTCTAGCAAAGACCACTCGTGTCTTATCTTTCCTACTGTATATTCCAGGCCTCTTCTCTTCCTAATGATGGTTGTGACACACTCTCTAACTCTAGAGATTATGGAAGGCTATCATGCTGTCAAGTTGCAGTTTCGATATTTATTCTGTATGAACAGATCTGTGTTAGTAGATGCCACTGTCTAGCTGCATTAGTGCTTCTGCTTTCCAGCAAGAAAAGCTGAGCCTTTTTGACTTACCAGTCATACAGATGAGAAAAGTGTTTGTATTGGCAGGCAGTGTGTCTCCGTTGGGCTATATTATTTGCTAGTGTGCGTGGACTTTCAGATGCAATTGCACCTGCTTACTGAGAAGCTTTCCTCCGTTGCATTCCAGTGATGGCTTGTTAGTCTGTTTGGCAGCATTCTTGGGTAACGAAGTGCTCTCACAGATAGTGCTGATCTTTACTGGGACAGGCATTGAACAGTTCTTCTTTATAACTAATATTTACTGTGCTAGGCCTTTTCCTCTGTTCCACCAAAATGGTTTTCCAATAGAAGGTTAGTGGAAGGTGGCAGTAAAACAGAAAACTGTATGTGTGGACATTCAGTTATTCCTTCCTGAGTGCATTAGTCCATCCTGAATTACAGCTGCTGCACATCAGCTAACTTGGCTAAGGCTTCTTTGAAATGTCTTGTCTTTTCAAATCTTGATTAACTTGGGTGGCATTCTGTTACCTGTAATCTTGTAACTTTACTTTTTTTATCCTTTTCCAGATGTACAGTAAGCATGTGAATAAATTTTCTAGATTTTTTGCTTGACTTTGTTGACTCTAATTGTTTAGACCTGGAGACAGTTCATAACTATCTATTTTAGTTGGTTTCCCTATATACATGTGAAGGAAGAATAAAAAAAAAATACATATAAAGGTATATATGTCAGAATAAGGAATAGACAAGTATGCTGCATTTAAACTTGTTATACTTTTAAAATTGTTAACTTATAGTGCTTTTCTTAAAAAAATACAATTCAGGTCATGTTGATATTTACTGCATTTGATCTGACACTCAGTATGTTTTGACTGCTCAGGAGAAATATTGTAAGAGCTCATAAATGCTAAAAGGGGGTCATATAGTGCTCTCCACTGTGGGTTCCTATGATTTATATCTGGTAGTTGTTGGTTCTGCCCATGAGCAGATTCAGCACACTTAAGTTGTCCAAAGGATTACCCAGGCATTGAAAGTTGTTTCCCAAGTTAATGATTTTTTTATTAGCTCATGAAAGTGTTTGCCAAAGTTAGAGAGGGGTAAGTCTGCACAATTTTAGGGAAGAAGGAGATGATGAAGAAGTAAGCTTTCTCCTGTGTGGTGTCACTACACTGTTATGCTGATTCAACTGTTGATGAAACGTCAGATTCAGCTTTCACAGAGTGGAACTTAGAAACTGTTCTAAGCTTGATTTGGGCTTAAATTTATCCCGAAAGCCAGAGCTGATGTCAACTTCAATGAATAATGAAGATTTGTCACCTTTTTGGTGTTGCTCTGTAAAGCATAAAATTGTTCAAAAGTATTTATTATTACTTTTTTCTCTTTTTAAAAAGCTTTCACAATCTACTAGAGTAATAATACTTTGTATTTTTGTTCTCTGTCTCTTTTCTCCAGTCGAGGCCTCTTGCCCTGTAGGATATTTTGTGAGGCAGCAAAAGAAGGCTGTGAACCAGTCCTGGGTATGGTAAATGCTTCTTGGCCTGAATTCCTGAAGTGCTCTCAATTCCAAAATGAAACTGAAAATGACACCACTACAAGGATATGCTTCTCACCACACCAAGAAGAAGGAAAGCAGTGTATGTTTCTATTCTTAACTATTACATTATGTTAATGAGTTCCTATTTAATCATGTAGTTTTTATTGTGTAGGAAAAGCTCTGGGATGAAATTACTGTTTCTGGTTCTGTTGTGTTCCTTCACATAGTCTTGCTGTTCTTTAGTTGCTTAGGCTAAATTTTTGTCAGGCATTTTTGGTTTGCATCAAGATTTCTGAGTTATTTTAAGGAAAGAAGGTAGGATAAAAGTAATATGCCCTTTAAAAACATTCTGCTGACTTTTTCTTTTATAAGATCTAGCAAATACAGGATTATTATTTGAAGCAGGAACCTGATACACAGACCAGATTTCAAGTGTATATCCTTTTTACGTGCTGTGAAAATGAGCCCAGAACTGATTGAGAGGTAAACTTTTCAAAAACTCATGATTTGTATACATCCACTCATAGAATCAGAGAATCACAGAATCATTTAGGTTGGAAAAGATCCTTAAAATCATCCAGTCCAACTGTTAACCTAACATTACCAAGTCCACCACTAAACCATGTCCCTAAGTACCACATCTACATGTCCTTTAAATACCTCCAGGGATGGTGACCCAACCACTTCCCTGGGCAGCCTGTTCCAATGCTTGATAACCCTTTTAGTAAAGAAATTTTTCCTAATATCCAATCTAAACCTCCCCTGGTGAAACTTGAGGCTGTTTCCTCTTGTCCTATCACTTGTTACTTGAGAAAAGAGGCCAACACCCACCTCGCTACAACCTCCTTTCAGGTAGCTTTAGAGAGAAATAAGGTTTCCCCTCAGTCTCCTCCAGACTAAACAACCCCAGTTCCCTCAGCTGCTCCTCATAAGACTTGTGCTCTGGACCCTTCACCAGCTTCATTGCCCTTCTTTGGACATGCTCCAGCACCTCAATGTCTTTCTTGCAGTGAGGGGTCCAAAACTGGACACAGGATTTGAGTTGTGGCCTCCCCAGTGATGAGTACAGGGGGACGATCCCTCCCCTGGTCCTGCTGGCCACACTATTTCTGATACAAGCCAGCATGCTCTTGGCCACCTGGGCACACTGCTGGCTCATATTGAGCCTGCTGTCAACCAACACCCCCAGGTCCTTTTCCGTTGGGCAGCTTTCCAGCCACTAAACAAAAGGCATTTTCATCTCCTCAGAGTTGTTTCTCTGTTCTCTAGATCCAAATCCAGGTGAGATCAGACCTGAAGAGTAGCAAATCTGACTCCTTTTTTCTCACTGACCCAATTACTGGAGTTCTCTTGCTGGCACCTGAGACTTTACTGTTGATATATATCATCCCATGAGCCTAAATGACAGAGGCTTGTATCGTCCATCTGTGGGTTCTAACTTTGTTAATTACTTCTGGGTGAAGATAAATAAGAAGAAATGATATGATGAAAATTGTTTTTCAATTTTGTATGAAAAGCCTGAGAAGTTATACCTTCAAACCTTAAAAGGAGTGTATATTTGAATGTTAGTTAATGCTACAATTAAGATTGTTTGTATATTGTGGGTTATCTCTTGCACTTTCTGAATATGCATAATGATATAGCCTAAAATTATTGGAGCAAGTCTTTTTACCAGTTGGATTCTCCCCATCTGTTACAGTGTGTTTTGTGGGGTCATGAAGTAAAGTCTGCCAAACTGTGGAGACCCAGGCTGCTTATTGGCAGTTCTGAAATACTGTTGTATAAAACAAAAGACATTTTTAATTAATCTTTTAATGAACTATTGTTCATGATGCTTGGATATTAATAGTTTTTATGTAGAATGATGGACTATAGAGAATATTTTGTCTTTTTTAATTTAAAATAATAGTTCTAATGTGATTCCTCTATGACTGAAAAAGGTGGGAGTCCAGGTTCACTAGGCTGTTTCTCCTACAGAAATAAATTATGCTGTAGTTGAATATTTTTTTCTGCAATTTGTATATTTGAAAGAATTTACTTCTCTGAACACAGTAGAACCAAACAGCAGGGGTGAGTTCACACTTCCAGTTCCTTTTTACTTAGTGCTCAGCCCAGAGCACTCTTCACGCTCTTCTCAGGGCTCAGTTCTTGGAAATTCCCAGAGCGTGTCCTTGGCATATGGCTGCTTATGTCTCAACTTTGTGATGTCTTTTGGGAACTAATGCCTCCGGATTACGCGCAGTGAAACCCTCCCTGCCCACATATGTCTAGCATATACTTTGTTTTGTGTGATGATGTAATTCTCTTTTGAGGGCTTTAGTTATTTCTTGTATTTATCAAAAATAAGGTCTGGCTGCTATACCTGCTTGTTTTAGCACAGTATCAGCCAATCCAAACCAAAATTTTCTCTTGATTATTTCTGTCTGATTATCTCTAAATACTCTATATCCTCCACATTTTCTGATTTGAAAATTATCACTATTCCAAAAAATCCTTGAACTCTCATGCCTCTCCAAGCTCTGTTGGAGCATGTATGCTTGAGTGATCTTCTAGTTAGAATCCAGAGCATTTATCCTGGGTCAATTACCAGCTTTTCTGAAAAATATTTATTAGTTAGAATTGGGGTTATCTAGTGGATATATATCATCAGTTCATGTGTCACTGATGATATTTATCTCTTCATTTAGAGTTTTCCTTCACAAGCATTGCAAATTGAGTGCACCTTACCACTTTGGAGAAACTATTATTATGTACATTCCTGATGTGACCGCAGATGTACTGAATGTACTGGAAAATCTGAGCCATGTGCCACTATAGTAAAACCATCTGAGTGTACAAAATAAGTCACAGAAAAAAAGGTGCAGATCTGTAGGCAGGTCTGCATCAGTCAGGTTGATATCCTTTCACACAAGTGACCGGTGAATACGCAGTAGATGAGGAAATCAGCTTCTCTGAAAACAGTTTCAGGAATCCAGCTTTTGAGGTTTAAGATAAATGACTGAACTGGTTTCACAGTTCTAAGGAGTTATGAGTATGTAAGGAAGTGAGAAGGAAGCATCATCAGTCATTCATTCCACGTGAATCCAATCATGTTCTGGGGGGAGGGAGAAGTCTCAGAAACCTTCCTGGAGGCTGCTATACGTATCCCTGCTCACAGAAATATTCCAGCTCTGTTTTATTTTCTTTTAACTGTCACTGTGTTTTTCTGTTATTTTATTTGCTTTGACCAGTCAACATATCTGATGTTGTTAAAACTGTGGTGAAAAAAAAACCAGTAGCTTGAATGAGAAATAAGGCAACATAATGAGCTGACTTACATTAACATGCAATTCTCATAAGAGCCCTGAAGTTATTTTTCGATTAATTTGAATGGTAAAATGCTTTCAAAAACATCAGTGAATATGATGCTTCTGCTCTTTATGCAGCAAAACTGTGTAAATGACAGTATGGAACTGTCAATGTTCACTTTTGTATTATTAGTAAAGAGACATTATGAATATCTGTTTCTGTAAAAAATGACACACAAGAGGCCTGAACTGCATTTCATATCCATGAATTTTGTAATAAATAATACTATTTAAGTTATATAAAAGACATAGTACATTAAATATAGAATATAAACTCTATTGCATTATTATGTTGCATATTAATTTTAGTTTGTTCTTAAAGGTACAAAAAGTATATGACAAAAAACAATGAGACCTTTTTCCAGTGAGTAACTGTTTTTAAATAGCTATCAGTTGTGCCAAATTATGAAAATATTTTTTCATATAATTTTTCCAAGAAAAAACTTACAGTTTTGTCTTAGGAGATTTTATGTCTCCACAGAATTTTTCCTTCAATGTTTCAAGTAGTGAAAGTTAAATATATGAAAGGATATTTTTTATCAGATACCTTTTATTGCAAATCCTCCTGTGAACACAATTGTATTCCTATTGGAATGGATGTTACGGATTTTAGTCCTGACTCAGGAGATGTTAACTTACTTTTTTTTTAATTTATGTTAGTCTCTTAAAAGATATTTCTATTTATTTATTTATTTATTTATTTTTCTGAACAACGCAAGAAAGAGACGTTACATGCTGCAATGGTTTCTGGGTATTCTAATAATTCCTATATACTATGAATGCGTATTCCTTCCTATTACTAGTTAAATTTTAAATCTGTAAAAAGAATGAATGAAAAAAAAGATTCATGAAAAGGAATGAAAGTAACTATGTGTATAAGTAACATGTGATATTATAAGTAGCATTAAATTATAAGTAACACAGAACTTTACTGTTCTGTAAGACAAATCTTTGTTAACTTCTTGCTTGCTGGTTATTGCAGCAGTTTTTCAGTTAGACAAAGTCTCTTAATTATTTTTTTCTGGTTAGAAAAGCTATAGTAGTTGGTGAGAAGGAAAACCATTGCTGATATTCTGAATAATCTCTCTTTGTGGCAAAAACATAAATATCAGTGGTTGTACATGTTGATAAGTGCCCCGCGATGTTCAAGGGCATGAAACAGCTAAATGCATATATAATTGGACTGAGCTCTTTCAGCTGTTTGAAAATGCCCCCACAGGAGCTCTTACCCTGTTTTAAGCTGGATAAGAAGCATTTAATTGGAGCACTGCATTAAGAATATTAGCAGTAGTCATTAACAGTTAATGAATAACATTTTAAGATACTGTAAAAGCAAGTAATAGATGCATTGACACCACAACTATAGACTTCAGCAGTACTTCTCTCTTATATTAGCATTGCCTTTACCCAGGTTTAGCTTTGAGTTTTGCAGTAACTCAGCTGAACAGTTCAAACTTTCTTCTAGTGACTATCATCATACGTTATCTTGTCCTGCATAGGCTGCAATAGTGCAAACAATACAGAACACACTCAAGAGAATTAATATAATGTATACAAGGAAACTACTGATTTTTCTTAATGAAATATGCTTAACTAATTCAGATCTTGTTTTCTTTTGTTCCAAGAATAAATGCCCAATAAAATTTGTTCTGATACTCTTTTTTTTCCATGGTACCCAGTTTATCTTCCAGGATTTTTCATACTGGTACTAATTTAAAGAATTGGCTTTGATGAATCGCAATCTTCTGATTAT